CCAGCAGAGTGGCTTGAGAAGGACTGCAGGGGGATGCTGAACAGGCAAGGCACAGGCGTGACGCGCTCTCTTGCTCTCTGGGATAGCTGGCAGCCCAGAGGACCAGGCAGCTACCTCTTGCAGGGTTATCTTCAACAGTAATTCCTAGTAATTCAACAGAAATTCCTAGTTCAGCTTTAACCTCCTCTGCCTCTGTGGCCTCTCTGGCTGTGGGATGTGTGTGGTGTGTACACCATTAACAGCAGGGAGGGAAGGACTGTGCTCCAAGCCTGTGTGACTTGGACTGTTCAAGCACTGTGCTGGAAGCAGGAGCAGGTGTTGGAAAAACAATGAATTTGCTATCCAACATGCAGATGTACTTTGATGTGTGCTCCAACTGTGCCACAACATATTTTTCCATCTCTTTTCTGCTGTTTTGAGAATGCATTCCATTGCTAAATCACATAATGTAACCTTGGAGAAGAAAAATCCTTTGGGTTAAGGCATTAGAATAAGAGAATTAATCTGGTTTGAAAATCCTGTCCTTCTGAGGGTCTACTTTTGTCATTTACTTAGTTTAGAAGATGAATATGGCAAAATATATTATTTATTAAAGTTGATATAGGCACTAGGCTGTAGCTTCCTTTACTCACACATTCATACATTAAAATTAATAGAAAAGAAGCTTCTAGCAGTTTAAACAGAATTTGCCTATATGGCAGTAGGAGTAGGAGTCTTTCCTTATTTTTGTAAATTATTTAGCACTGATACAAATATTTTAAACCTTAAAACTGTGGATTGTCTTTTTTTTTTTTTTTTTTGCTTGCTTGCTTGTTAGCATTTTAAACACAGTTGTAATTTCAAGTGCTATTGGTATTTCCTTAGAGAAGACAGAATGTCTTTTCTTGCAGCATCATAAAGTCTATAATGGCTTTGAGTTTATTTTGCCAATACTCATTATAGTTGCTAATTGTTACTGCCAGAGAGGTAAAAACATAGGCACTATAATCAGTGTATAGATGGGATAGTCTAGAGTTTTTATGTAGGCACCAATTTTTGGGTCTAGATTAAACAAAACCTGAATAAAGTTATTAGAAATTGTGTTGATAAATATACAGATGTGTGCTGGTCTTGTACATGGAAGTTTGTGTCTGCCATATGTTAATGAGAGTTATATTTGCCTCCTTTGCACTGAGGGAAGGTTAGAACTGTATTACTGTCCACCAGTGACTACTTCTGCTACAACTGAAAGACTTGTTTGGGGATTCAGTTTTCTTTCTTTTGAACTTTTTCAGCCCTCCAACAATGTTTACCCACACCCAGTTTTCTTCCATGCCTTCGTAATGTGAGACATCATGTTCTGCTTGAGAACATGCTAACAATGTGCTGCAAAACCAGTGTAGAAGTCTAAGGCTCAGTTGGTGAGTGTTCCTGAAACCAGATGACCTGTTCCATAGCCTTATGTCACAATTTAGGAGTTTGTCCTGTATTCTCTAAATGTAGATATAGATACCTACCTTTGTAAGTTAAATTCCTGGTGCTTATTTTTAAGTAGTGACCCAAAATGAATTTAAAAAAATTTAAGTTATTGTCACAAATAGCAAGACAAGGCGATAACATAGCTTTTAGCTCTTAAGGTCTTTTCTCTGCCTTGGAGTGTCACAGATCAGGTGTGTGTCACACAGGGCACTGTAGTCAGATTGTGTTCAAAATCAAAATGAGTTGATTTGGACAGGAGCTTCTAAACACATGGTGATTCACAGACCTCTGTTGCTTCCCTAAGACTCAGTGAAGCTTCTCTGAATTCTGTCAAATGCCTACAGAGACCAGGTGGTGTGCAGGGTTCTTTGCCCTGCTTTCTAAACTGGCTGAAGGATAAAATGAAGTCAGCCACTGCAAACTGGCCTTAGACAGTGGTAAGGGCCAGTAGGAACCTACACAAGAGACAGCCTGCGATTCATGCTGCCCTTCCCATTGCTGCTGCAGCTGCTTGTCAGAGGGGAAGGGTGGAAGTAACGTAGGCCAGAGGCACCTTGAGGTGCAGCATGTAGAGAATCCCATGCAAGCTGCAATAAACTTAATTTGGAAAGGTTCAAAAGTTTTCATAAAATAAGATGCAGGACAGGTGAGTGAGGATAAAATAGTGTGGAATGGATAGAGAAGGTTTAGGCTCAAGACTCAGAATAGATGGTACATCCCATATGAATGCCAACAGAATCTTTATATCACTTTCACCATAGTGTTTAGAGAAAAATTAAACATTACTGGTTTCAGTGAAACATTTTTTTACAATTTTAGGACTATTCTCAGTAGAGACCTAACTCAGTATGAACCAAGTTGCATATGTCAAACTTCCCACAGCAGGGAAAATATATTGTAACAGAGATATCCATGCCTTCTGTGCAGATCATCACACATCCCATATCCAGAAATTAATGCAGGTACTATTTCTTTGAAGTTACAAATGTATGTGGTGTTGCTCATATGTTTATACAGTATTTATTGGGGGATGAAAGGCAGAACAATAAAGGAAAGCAGATGGATGAAGTTCTAAGATATTATTATGGCATTAATATCAAACTTCCTTGAGAAGACTCGTGTTTACCAAGTCCTGGTTTACATTAGCTCCTGTCTTTTTTACAGAGTCTGTAATGTATGTCTTTTCAGCCCAAGTGATACCTCTGTGATGCCATTTTAGATGTGAGCAAAGGCATGAACTTATAGTTCCAGAAGTAACCAGTCTGTTGGATGGAAGAGCTGACAGACAAAGACTCAGTTTTTGTACATTCTTCTATCTCAGTATAGTAACCCACATATCATTTAGTTGATGTATGCTGAAGATAGCCTGAATTTTTCTTGAATTTCAAGTGCCTGAATGATGAGAGCTAAGTGCCTTTCAGGAATCATTCACATGGCTAAAGACATGGAATAGGAAGTTGCCTGATAAAACTCAGAAAGAGACACCTGACACATGGGTTTGGTGGACTTGGGACACCTGACTATAATGCTCAATGATTTCAAGTCCAAAAATATTTTCAAATGCATTTAATTATTGTCTCTTTTACTAGCAAGTCAAAATACATATAGCTAACGTATGCATTTGAAACTCAATGCACCATTTAACTGACTGAACTAGTGTTGCATTTTTTATGCCCTTCATTGATTCTTTGTTTCACAGGGGTTCACAGTGAGGAAAAAGTGTTTCAAATTAATCTTAACAAAAAGGTTGTTTTGGTTTGTCATCTTCCCTCTGTGGCGGAATACAGAAACAGTAATAAATTTAATACATCATATACAAAAGCCATGAATAACAGCAGCCTTTATTTTCAGCTCCTTTATGTGACATTCCCAACAACAGTACAGGGCCATAAGATTTTGCTGAAATTTTTTTATCACTCAGCTTCTTAGAAACACTCACTCCATGAGTTCTGTGTTAAAATTATTTGAAGTACCACGTAGAGTTAGTCCTTATCCAGAACTAGTCAATGTTTTTGATAGTAACTTGGATTAAAGAATAATAAGGGATTTATGTTTTCAGAAAATCAGAAAGTGAAATGGTTTTTGTAGCACTTTTGAAAGTTTGGATTGAAAATGATCTTGACTACAGCAGTGGCCTAAAGTAATAGTACAGTTTGGTAATGACAGAAATAGCATGACACTGTGGAAGATCTGCAGAAAAAAAACCCTAAACAAACAAACAAAAACCAACCACCAAAAAAAAAAAAAAAGGAAGAAAAAGAAAAAAAAAGTGAGAATAGTATTCAGTCATAAGCTTAAATATGGATCAGCAACATCATAGTTCACTGATAGTCTTATGTGGTGATGTACAAGCAAGAATGGTATAGATTGTTACAATCAGAGAGATTCTTCTAACCTATCCACTACTACTACAGCCTTTAGAGGAAGATTATGTCCAGTTTTCAACAGCAAACATTAAAGATTTCAATAACAGAGAACTGTGAGACAAGCAACAGAGATTTAGAAAATATGACCTAAGATGCATTAAAATACCTTTTTTGTTCACTGAAGAGGAAACTCACACCAATATTGAAATGCATCTGAGGTGGAGAAGAAAAAGAAAGTAACAAAATCCTTTTCATCCTGTATGGATGAATCATTTTCAAGGGTTGCTCTGGAATATAAACCTAAAGGTGGAAAATGGAGCCATGAGTTTAAGGGTTTAAAGCTTCTGCATATATAAGAGGAAAATCTATCTGAGAGGGTATCAGAGCATGGGAATGGTTTTTCTGAGGAAGTTTTGGTATTTTCATTACAGGATGTTTTCAAGAATAAATTAGACAGCAATTCTTGAAAAGGTTTAGGCTGTTCCTAACTTCTTTTTAGGACCAGTTGAATTTAATAAGCTTTATGTGATTTGAATGCTATGTGTAATTTTGAAAGTTGATATTAGCTACAACTGTTGAATTGTTGCTTTCTGTCTGTCCCAATTTAGCAGTGCGTCTTCTGGGCTTCTCTCTTCTCTTTTTTTTTTTTGTCCCCATACACCTTTCTACACTTTACAAATACAGTAAATGAAGAAGAAAAAAAATTGAAGGATTCAGTATGTAATGTGTTCTATTTCTTCAATATTTTGTAATAAATAGGATGAAATATGGAGGACAGAAGAGACTTTTCTTTGTAATCTTCTGACATTAGTCTTTTTTTCTATTGTACCTGTGGTCTCCAGTGATCCCTAAGCCCTTGTGTGTATATTATTTTTCCAGCAGCTTGATTCAGGTCTCCAGCAACACTAACAGATTGAATAATGAGAGTATTGCATAGCAGCTGATAATGCTGTGGAAATTGTTTAGAGGAGCTGGTGCAATACAATGCTTTTGTATATCCACTGTATCTTTTTATGTGGACTAATAGGCTTTCACAGCTGCTTTTTAGATGCATAGATCCATGACTGAGGATATCCATATATATCCATATATCTGCTCTTGGAAAAAGACCATATTTTGACAGAATTGTATGCAACTAACACGTCTTGTTTTCCCCTTCCTTCCCCTCACTTTTAGCTGGCTGTGAGGTGGTTGGAACACAACTGCCGCTACCAGTATCTGGATGAACTTCTCCAGTACGTCCGCTTTGGCCTTATGGATGTGGATACACTGCATACTGTAGCTCTTACTCATCCTCTTGTCCAAGCCAGTGAAACTGCGACAGCGCTCATTAATGAGGCCTTGGCTTACCACCAGAGCGTCTATGCACAGCCGGTTTGGCAAACTGCAAGGACAAAGCCTCGCTTCCAGTCAGACACTCTTTATATTATTGGTGGGAAAAAACGAGAAGTCTGTAAAGTGAAGGAATTGCGATACTTCAATCCAGTAGACCAAGAGAACGTTCATATCGCGGGGATCGCTAACTGGAGTGAGCTGGCGCCTATGCCTGTGGGGAGGAGCCACCACTGCGTTGCTGTCATGGGAGACTTTCTTTTTGTAGCTGGTGGAGAGGTAGAGCACTCCACAGGGCGCACGTGTGCCGTGAGGACTGTCTGTCGATATGATCCCCGCACTAACTCCTGGGCGGAGATAGCTCCAATGAAGAACTGCCGGGAACACTTTGTGCTGGGAGCCGTGGACGAGTACCTCTATGCCGTAGGGGGCAGAAACGAATTGCGTCAAGTGTTGCCCACAGTTGAACGCTACTGCCCCAAGAAGAACAAGTGGACCTTTGTACAGTCCTTTGATCGGTCGCTCTCATGCCATGCGGGATATGTGGTGGATGGTCTTCTTTGGATATCAGGTAGAAAACGTTTCACACAGTTTGAGGTACTAACAAAATACCAAAATACTGTCTTAAATTAAAGTAGTAAATCTTTGGTTTATATGTCATGATAACTTTTCTCTTCAGAGAGGACAAAGAACTGACGCTTCATTAGAAGTATAGGAGCGTAATGTATCTTACACATTACAGTTGGTGTTTCAGAGCTGCTGATATCATATGTGCTATCTCCAGTTGCCATTCATAAATCACAGTGAACTGGAATGATAATGCACTTCTGGACAAATTTCCAATGATAAATTCTGTGTGCTTCCTAAAAACAAACAAAAAGAAGACATTGTTTCTGTAATATGATCTGGTACTTTTGACATTAACAGGACCCGAGGGAATGGCCTGAAGTTGTGTCAGGGGAGGTTTAGGTTGGATATCAGGAAAAGGTTTACCCAGAGGTTGATTGGGCACTGGAACAGGCTTCCCAGGGATGTGGTCATAACACCAGCCTGACAGAGTTTGCGAAGCATTTGGACAATGCTTTCAGGCACATGGTGTGTTTCCCGAGCCTGTGCAGAGCCTGGAGTTGGACTTTGATGATCCTTGTGGGTCCCTTCCAACTCAAGAGTATTCTATGATTCCATGATTCACTTATTCCTGATGAAGAAATGGAAAATTAAGTGGTTGTTAGCTTGTGTTGTTCCAGGGCTTGAATACAGATATATGATTTGCTCCCACTTGCACTCCAAGATGACTGTTTTTATAAATGATCCATAGCTCTGTCCATAGCAAATGTATAAGGCTGGATGTAATCATAACTTTACAGCACAGATAGATGAATGTATAAACCCTATAATCCTAGAATAACTTGTCATTTGCAGCTGAGTCTTTAGTTGTTATGTTCCATTGATGGAGGTGGGAGGACTTAGTTTCCTCAGTCTTTGTAGTGGGTATTAGTTATTTTGGAATACAGCCGATGCTGTCTACAGAAGATTTGACAGAAAAAATTTCCCCTTTACTAAGAAGTGTGCCACGGAAGGTTATGTAGTTATAATATTTATTAAGGAAGCTAATGAGTAAATGAGGCCAGCCCTTGAGGTAAATGTTCAGTGATTGGCATCTTCACCGTAGATACCCTCTGGGGATTTTAATATGGTCTGGAATGCCTCTGGTGAAAAGATGGAATATGAATGGAAGATTAAGTTAGCTTCTTAGGCCTTTGCTGTGCTTCTCAAAGTGTGTCATTTAGGCTAGTGGATGTACCTTTCTGTCCCTATGGATTGGGCGCCTCATGGGAATGGAGTCCCAAGCATTGGCAGGGGAATTAGCAGGTATCTATTTTAATATATATATATGCTAAAGTCATGAATGATGACACTGGAATTAAAAGCAGGACAGAACACAGAACAACACTGAGATCCCCGACTGGTACTTTGGGTCATTTTCTTTAGTGACCATTGTTTAGGGAGTCTTGTGGAGTTTGTGATGTGTGAATCTTGAGGTGAGACCCAGGTACAGTACAGGAATGGGATTTCTGTGTTAGACTACCAGCTGTGTATATTCAGAGCATTATCCTATTTATTCACTGCTTTTCCTATTTTATTAGCTGAGAGGCATGTGTGTCTGCAGTGGACACTTCAAATACACGGATGTTACTACTGCAGAGTCTTGATTGCTGGTTTGTTGTTTTTTTTTTTTTCCTGTTTTATGGTTTATATTTGTCAGTATTTGTGAAGAATAGGACCTTTTAAAAAACGGTGTTAAGCATTCTCACATAAAATCATTGAATGTGCACGAGAAGTCCATCAGTATGATCTTTCCTCCAGTAAGTGAGAAAAATAATATTTTTTGTCTTAATTTCATTAAAAAAATACTCCATACAACAAAAGAAAACAATCAAAACTCAAGAAAGTATTTGATAGCAATTTTTAAGTCAGACATGGGGCTGGTCGAAGACTTAAATCTTTCCAGATTTCCTAGGAAATGGGAAATTATTCTGAGGTTTAACTCATGTGCTTAGTTATGTAGGTGAAATCTATGCATGCCTGTGTGTTTTAAATTCCACTTGTGTTTAGAAAATGATGCAGTGTGATATTGTGTTCAAGGATATGCCTCTAATAGAGCTGTAGAATCAGTGGAAGAGGTAAGTGGAAGCCTACTGGATGAATTTTTTGAAACTGGGAAAACAACAACAAATATTTCCTTGGTATTGTTCCATTTATATTTGAAAATGCTGCTAACAGTGGAATAAGGTAGACACGGCTTTTTAGTTGTATTTTGGTAGGTTCTGAGAAAATGTTTCGAAGTTTTGAGTTGTTCAATTATGTCAGGTTATTATGAAGTACGAGAGCGTACTTTCTGTGCTATGCTTCAGTGGATATGATCTGGATTTTGTACTCTCACACTGAAACCTGGTTGTGTATTGAATAGAGTTATTTTAAAAAGAAAAGTGGCTGGAGATATAATAATTTTAGCTAGCTTTCTATTATTAATTAATAGCTTAGGACCGGAATGTAGCTTGTGGTATGTGTACATTCAGGGGCAGGGGAATAGTACAGAAAAATGTTTTATTGTATCGTAGTCACTGCTGGAAAATCCGCTGTTCATTATTGAATATACAATGTTAACATAAAAGTAATTAGTAATGCATGAGGGAACCTAATTTTGAAGTATGTGGCCTAAAATTAAGTAATTAAAAAATTAGTCTGAGTTAGAAATGTTTCTGAGCTGTATCCCTGCTGCTTTTTCTGGGAAATACAGGTCATCCGCAAAGAGCTCTCAAAGTCAGTCTGCTACTACCAGCTGGCAGGGAAACCGTGGAAATGTGCCCAGTTTTTTAGTGAGGGAATAAATTAAATAGTGATAATATAAGTTTCTAGCCCTTCTATTTGTGGAGAGCATCATCAAAGCTTGATCTGCACACTGACCGTTTACTTACTCAGTGCCTCTGCTACCGCCCCGTGCCCTCTTAAAGGCTTTGCTGATCAAAACCTAAGGAGACTTAAGGGATTTCTGTTATTATTGGGATTCATTTTCAGCTTTGCTTTGCTGCTCCTTTGGGACAAATATGACAAGGATTCAAAAATAATAGATAGTAAAATCATGGCAAAGGCAGCAGGTAAGGAAAACGGACAGAACAAACTGCTGTATGACTTTACACACTGGCAATAACAGGTGTTCATCTGGTGTTCAGGTGACGGAGGGACTCCTAAGCTGCTATCCTCTCTTTGGGGTTTTTAACCTGACAGAAGCAGATTAAAAAAGGGAGCCTTTTGCACACTGGAACTAGTAGTTTCTCTGTTCAGCACAAATGAGTTCAGCCCTTGGGTTTTCTGAGCTCCATCTTTTCATATTTATGTCATTATTTATTGTTTTCCCCCCACAGTCCTCATTTTATTTTCTTATTTAAAGAAAAACAAACATGAGAATTTATTAAAATAATTTGGTAGTTTTGACTAGGCTAGAGCTAATTTTCCTCATAGCAGCTAGCCTGGGCGATGTTTTGGATGTGTGCTGGAAACAGTCCTGGTAACACAGGGATGTTGTTATCGCTGAGCAGTGCTTCAACAGAGTGAAGGTGTTTTTTACTTCTCACCACACCCTACCAGTGAGGAGTCTGGGGATGGGCAAGGGTCTGGGAGGGGACACAGCCAGGACAGCTGACCCCTGATGACTGAAGGGATATTCCAGATCATGTGGTGTCATGCTCAGCATATAAAGCTGGGGAAGAAGGAAGAAATGAGGGGGTATTCATAGTGCTGATGTTTGACTTCCCAAATCACCATTATGCTTGATGGATCCCTGCTCTCCTGGAGATGGCTGAACACCTGCCTGCTCATAGCGGGCAGTGAATTAATTCCATGTTTTCCTTTGCTTGTGTGTGTGGCTTTTGCTTTAACTGTTAAACTCTCTTTATCTCAACACACAAATTTTCTCAGTTTTACTTTTCCACTTCTCTTCCTCATCCCATGCTGGGGGAGTGAATGAGTGGCTGTGTGAGGCTGAGTTGCTGACTGGGGTTAAACCACAACAAATAAGTTCTCTGTACTGGCATTGCATTGGGCAGATGGTTTGGAAATTTTATAGAAAGGTGATTCTTCCAGGCTCCAGTTAACATCTGATGCCATGACCAATTTCACAAACAAATTGCATGCCACAGTGCTTGAAAAGTGAAGTATTTCAGTGAAAGAAAAACAAAGTACACTAAACACTTTGGAGTTCAACATGACTAACAATCGCTATCTATAAAAGCGGGGAAATATTTTTCCATAAGAGCAAGGACTTGAACTATGCCCATTTCCCAGCATCCTCTGTGGAGTGCACATGCAAATCTGGAGACCTCCTTTTCTATCCACGTTAACCTTCCTCCACTGGTATAGGTCTAGTGCCCCAGGGGACATTGAGGGGCAAGGAACCTCTGCTGGCATTCCAGCTCTGGACCATTCCTGCACCGGCATCTTGGGATAATGACACTTCCCCTTGCCTTAGGTGCTCCAGAGATTAACACATGAAAAATGTTGTTTAAAACAAAGTGTTACACTGGTGTTTTGCAGAGGCTCAAGTTGTCTGACCTTAAGTGTGTCAGCTAAAATAATATCTTGACATCCACATAGAAAGCCAGCTTGGGGGAAGGGGGTAAACAAGGCATCCCTGTACTGTTGCTTTGTACTTAATATAGGGAGTAAATACTTTTTTTTCAAAATTCAAGATTAATTCTTTTAGTTTTTAAACTGTCGTCTTTTTCCCTAATGGTAGAGATTTTGACTAAGGGAATGATGGTAATAACATATCTTGAATAATTATTTGGAGTTTGCAAGTGATTTGGGATGAAAAGTATGACCTTACTATCAATGCGCTCTCATGAAGTAAATATTTTTTTTATCAGCAAATGTCTATAAAATTATTTTATGAAAAATAGATCTAGAATAATAGGACTTTACAGAATCTATCCAAATTAAGTTTTACAGTGTGGCTGGTACAGATTTACTGGGAATGGGAGGTTAACAAGTGCATAAAAATTGCTTTAGTGGCCCAGTCTTAGTCTGAATATGTTCCATATATGTACAGACTTAATTTTTACTTTATATGAATGAGTGATCTCACACCTCTCAGTCTTTGATGACATTGATTCTCCTTAGATTGAATGTAAACATCCAGCTTTAATGATTTAAACAAAACTGGGGCTTGTGCCCCTCTTGTTTGTGGCTCGATTGGATCTGGTGTCAAAGAGCTGCTGTTGGCCTCTTCCAGGGGATTCCTTGCCTTGGGAGAGCGTGCTCCAGCTCAGCTGTCCTCACTGCACCTGGGCTGGCTGCAGTACAAAGCAGTAGCTTTGCATGTTGAGGAAGGATTATCTTGTGTTTAACACACAGACACCTAAGAGAGGAGAGATTTCTGTTTTAAAAGAGCAGAGCACCTTAGGTTACATGTCGTGGGTTTCTATATATTCCCTGGGCTTGCTAGAAGGAGCAGACATGGGAGCTCTTTGCCAACATGAAGTTTTACACGTCTCCCAGTGAACTCGGATTCCCGCACACAGCCTAGCGCTTGGGGACTGCGGAGAGAGTTGTGATATTTTCTGGGGGATTTGGATTGGATTTGATTTCTCAAGTCATATGGGGGCCTTGCTAGGCCACGTTATAAATGTGGCTCATAAGTTGTCATTTAGGAAAATGTTGAATCTACTGCCTCCTACCCTTCTCCTTTTAGAAGTGTGTCTTGAAGGTGTTTCTCAATGCAGTTTGTGGAGTGTTGGGGGGGACTGTAATAACGCAAAATGTTTATCAAGTGTGGGAAAGTGATGGGCGAGGTGTGTTATGGAATCCTTGAGCAAAATTGCCCCATGTAGAGGGGCACTGTTTCATGAGTTGAGAATTTACAGGTCTTGGAAGGCTTAAAAAGCAACATTTACACCCTACAAGGGAGTTGTTTGTGGCAGTGTAAAAACATTGTGAGCCCATGGGCTGGGTGATGGCCTTTCCATTAGGGTGTGCTCCTGTCTGTAAGAGCAAGAAAGACAGTCTTGTCCTGAGGGTGCTCCTTGCCTCCCAGGAACTGGAGTCCTCAAAGCAAGCTGCAAATGTTAAAGTGGTGTAATCATCACTGTTTATAAAAACAGCAAATGCTGACCAAACTGTAAATTTTCTGTCATTTAACCAGACAGACTTTTTTTTTTCCCCTCTTTTTCTAATTGTTGGGTTACTACCACATTAGCTGTTATTGCTTGACATCAAATTTAATAGCATAGTTTGTATTTTTAGCTACTTTCTCTCGTTATGATGCCTCTCTATCCTCTTCTTTCCTCATAGAAAACAAGACAGAGACGTTTAAGAAACTCTCTCAGAATTACCCCATTGCTTTTCTGAGAAAGTATGTATTTTTAGTACCATTTAAACTCTTTTTCCCCTTCTTTTCTTATTTTTAAGAGGCATATTGCTGCTCTTTCACCCTTTCCCAGCTGTCTGTAGTATTTAAAAAAAAAAATAGTTCAAGAGGACATTGCAGACTTGTTAGATCTGAATTTTGGCAGAAAAATTTAAACTTTTGCTATAGCACTTCAAAGTTAGAAGGAACTAGAGTTTGAAAATTGATGCAGATATAAGATGGCATATTTAATGACAGATGTATCTATAGAAACCTGTTAAGATGCAGATTATCCCCCTGGGGAGGGGAGATCAAAACTGCCAATCTATAAAATATACTTGTTAGGGAGAGGCATGGAATCTATCTCTGCGAGCACTTTGATTGCAGGGGACAGTGTAGCAGCATGTGGCATCATAACCTAAGAGCAGACAAATCAGCTTGATGACTTTCAAAGCCAAGAATACTGCTGGAGGCAAGGGTACTCCAGTCTAGAAGAAATTAAAACATATAGAGACTGTTATTAATTCCAGATCTATTTTTGTGTAGTCAAATCTGTATGCAAATCCTTAGCATCTCATTTTGGCAGATTAATCTAAAAGTGAAGAGCAGTATGTGAAGGGAATGTAATGATAAAACACCAGAGATGAGCAATATTGCAGGGGAAGAGATGTAAGCTGTGTACTTGATGTGAGGGGCCCTTTGTGAAGAGAAGGAAATAATTTTGCTTATTTGCTTATTTTATTACTTTAAACACAGAGGAAACAACACTCTTCTTTCTCTTCTTCCTTCACATCTTTCCCCCCCGATTAAGGTGTCCTTTCAGAATGGAAATGTACCACCCAGCACTTTGTGTTTCAAATATGTCTCCTGTAGTTTAACATTCTGAAGTTATTAATCCAAATAACTCCAATTTTTGATGTCTCATTTTAGACATTGTATTGGGAGTGAAAATAACTGTATGTAAAAAAATCAAATTACAAAACAGATATTAGAAAATATTGTTTTGTCTGTGTGGCTGATGACCACTAGGAATGTGAAGGCTGCACAACAGTGTAGAGACAAGTAACAGATTGTGAGATCAGACACAGGAGCAGTCTTTGCCTTCCAATGCCTGTTCTTGTGTGTGTGCACTTCACATGGGCTGTGATGGGCAGCGTGTGGTGTAGTGTGATGGAAACAGTTTGGAGAGACTACATCTCATCCCAGCTATCTCTTAACCTGTGAGCATCTCTGAGCTGGGAGTTTGGGCTGCTGTCCTTCTGTAGGTGCCCAGTACAGGCTGGTGCTTGCAGGGGCGCACCCAAGTAACAGCATCATTTGTCCTTGCTGCTGCAGTTGAAGAAAAGACCCTAAAAATAGATACATCTGTAGTTTCTGCTATCGATTCCTGACCCCACTCGAGTTTTTTGGAGTAATCAGAGGGTACTTCTTTATCAGCAAGTAGCTCAGCCCAGTAGGAGCAGATCAGCAGGTAAAACCTTGGCACCAAGTTCTCTATATTTACTCCATACCCCTTCACATTTTTTTGCTTTGTACTAGGTTTGTTCTGGTCCTCTGGCTCAAATGTTCCCAGCACTCAGATGGTACAAAGCCAAAAGACCTGTTATTATTTTACACCCTTATGCTGCCATTAGGAACTGGAGCTTGTTTGGTGCACATCTGGAGTAGAGCTTCTGGTTTAACTTGAATGCACACCAGTCCCAGCCTGCAGCCTAAAATGTCTTGGGGGAGGTGGAAGAGTTGCTTCAATATCACAATATGGCTCTGAACCAAAATGCTGCCCTCAGCCTAGCTGGAGGATTCCCCAAAATAAGGATTCCCCAGCACAGAGCTTGGGGATAAAAGGGAAAAAAACAATCTGGCAACTGGGCCATAGCTTAGCCAGGAGGAATGTGAGTCAGTGTGCTGCTGTCCTGGCTGAAGCAGGATATGCCCTCACAGAAAGGGAAGTGTCAACAAAATCAAATGTAATAAGATAAAAATACTTCATCTTATTGCTGTGGTATGTGTGGTACTACTATTGGTCGGTGCCATTAAAACTGTAATATAAATAGTTGGTCTGTCAGTGTGAGTGTCACTGGTGTGTGGCCACTGCCATGCCCTAGTTCTGCCCAGACCTCGTGGCAGGATGAAGGTGAGGTGCAGCTTGCAGGTGTTATTTCTGATTCCATCTTCCCACGGGCCCAGTGTTGTGACAGGGGGGGACTGGGAACTGTGGCAGTGCTTCAGGGACACCATGTCCCCAGAAGTCTTGAGCACATTCAAAAACATGTTTGAAGAAGTTTTCCATGTTCACTTAGTGAAATTTGCCATTTTAAACAAAACAAGACGAGGATGATTGGGCATTAAACGTCTCTTTAATGTGTTGAGGTAAATATCTGGTTTGCAGCATCTACTTGGGTCAGACTCTATTCCAAGCTTTTCTGAGGTGCTTTACACCATGCTTTGCTGATCACTATTGGTATTGGTACCCTATTGGTAGGGAGTCTGGTCACTGTGGAGGAACCACTAAGTTTACCTCTAAATGACAAGGTGTTCTCTCTATAACACAAACTAAGTACAGAATTTCTTTCAAATGTGTAGATAAGCACAGTTGTGCAGGCTTGAACTGGGCTCTCTAATTGGTAGTGTATCCTCTCTGGTAAGGCAGAGCTTCTCTCTGACCTCTTCCTTCTCATTGATGCAAGCCCACTCCTCCTCTTTTAAACCATGCCACACACTGAATGTTCCTTGGAACAGGAATGGGGTTTGTCTTTGTGTCTTGATGAAGGCTGAATGCACAGTTATGTATAAACAGATTAATTTTTAACTCATTTTGGGCCCACAGAATTAGCCCTACAAAGGAAGGGTATGGGGGGTGTTTATTGATGCTGTTCTCTGTTTCTGTATGTTTGACAAATGGGTCAGCTTTTTCCCTTTCCTTTAATCAGATTAAGAAGTGCGGTGGAATGTAAGCAAAAGTGGTGGTATGTAATGTAATTATTATCTGCAAATGAACTCTAGAATTGGTTATTTCTCTGTACCTGATCTTGGTCCTGGCTTTGCTTATATGAAAAATTGTAATCTGTATAAACTCTTTTATAGGAGGAGTAACAAATACTGCACAATATCAAAATAGACTCATGGTCTATGATCCTAAGCAGGTGAGTATCTGTGTTATATATGTTTTGTTTTGCTTCAAAAGATCTCTTGGCAAATATGTAAAAAGATTTTGTAAGGCTAAAAGCACTGACCATTTGAATTAGTGGTGTTTTAAATTCACTTTGTACTGATGTGTGAGTTTAATAGGTAATGGAGACCCTGACATCTTACTATGATTTTAAGCCTGTAGGAATTAGAAACATCTTAGATTAAATACAGAAATGTGCTTTAAATCCCCTGTATTTATCAGTATTTCTTCTGCTTTTTTTTTTTGTTTTGTTTTGTTTTGTTTTGTTTTTTTTGTAATCCAGCAGCCCTGGGCAATTTTACTTAAAGTCAGTGCCCCAAAACCGCTCCTTGTCATTGGCATTTCTGTTTTGAATTGCATATATGGGCCTTTTTGTTTCCTGAATACTTTGAGAACTGTACTACCTTGCTGTGACTTACTCTGCTGACTGCAAGGGTGCCTATCATTTCATTACCTAAGCACCTAAAATATCTTTTAGGGATTATTTCATACATTATGTATGTGTTTTGATTAGGTTAGCACGGCTCAGTAACCATTTCAGAGGGTTAGGGCATGGTTGTGCCCTCTTGCTTGTATTAGGAATTAAAAGTCCTAAGCTTGCAATCAGAGTTGCATAGCCTGATTTACACACACGTGGAAGAGTATTGACTTTTCTGATTGTAGGATAGGGGCTTTGATTGCTGTATTTGGAACAAAATTGTGCCAGGAGATACTTCTGTGTGGTTCCCACTGACTTTTTAAAGTATAGCACATAGAGGGTCTGAAGCAGAAAGCAGGAGGTGACACACCTGCCTTGTTCTTTTGGAGGTGCAACTTCATCATTGACTGCAAATGCTGGCTGTCCCAAATCCAAGTAGCAATTACAGGCAGAAATCTTACTTGCTTGTGAGGGGGACACGTATTTGGATACCATTTCTCTATTGTGTACCTTTCACTCGGATTCTTCACTTGCTGGTGTGAAAGTTGCACCCCAGAATAGCGGTGCTGGGGCTGCCTCAGTGTACCGTGCTGACGGCCAGGAACCCGGCCTGGCGCGTGAAGAGTTACAGAGGAATTGTGCGCTTGCATTCTTCAAACGACGTCTGCTTCGTGTTTGTACACACAGGCTCTTTTTAAAAATTCTGCTGGCATATTGTTTACGGTGGGTACTGGAAACCATCACATCTGCTTGCATCTCGCACGGAATCTCAATAGCTCTATCACGGAGCCCCAGCGCCTGCTCCTGCGCGAGGCCTTTGTGGCGAGTCGATAATGCCTGCCATCTGCCACCGAGCACACAGCTACCTGCCAACAAGCCGGCTGGGCTGACCTCTGCTTCCCCACCACTGATTAGTATTCACACACCGGCTTATTAGAAATGACCCTGCCAGGCCCCTCTGTTTCGCTGCCTTTGCAGTGCTTTGAGGCTCACCTGGCAGGCACTGCAGTGGAGGAAGCTAAAGATATAATCAGGGGATGCAGGCAGGCTTTGCAAAGCAGATGGTGTCTATAGTCTGGTGTTAAGAGACTGGACTACTAATGCAAACATTAATGCCTAATAGTCAACTATAACACGTTGAAATATATAGCTATATATTGTGGAGGTTAAAAGGCAGAAGGCTTAGGGGCTCTGGAGTTGCTGCACCTGTATCACAAAAAGATTCCTCACAGATTTTTAACTTCTTTCACTTAAATAAAACTTATCCGTTGCCAGATTGCTTGATTTGGTAGGCATAGCAGGAGCAATTGTTTTCTCAGATATAAAATACTCTGCTTTAATTCCTTGTCTTCCGTGTCTGCCTGCCTCTCCTCTAAACAGGTAAAATTCTTGAATATCGTTAATGAGTAAGAAAAAAATATGCAAAAGGTTATAACTTTGTAAGTTTCCACAAATAAAGGGTTGACATTAAACCAAATGAATCATTTGAGAAGATTCTTTAGGAAATTATTTTTCCTGTTGCTTTATTCCCCAAGGATAAGATCAAATAAGCTTCTGAATAATGAAAGGCAGAAGAATCTCTCTTCTCTCATAACAGAGCTCATTGGTACAGATAATTTTAGCACTGTATACAAAGGAGACATTTAATAGTCTGGTTTAAGGAGAATTTGCTACTGAGTTATAAAGAAAAAAAAAAGACCTTTGAAACCTGATGAGCTAGACAAAAAAAAAATAGAGCAATAAATGCCATTAAATGAATGAACTTCAACGTGAGAACTGTAAATCATGTGTTGAAAGTCCACTATCCTTATTCAGTGTTACAACCAACACATATGTCTAGCGTATGAACAGAACCAGTATATGCACTTGTGATTCCTGACCAGGGGCAAGAAGAAACCAGTACTGTGCTACTGTTCACTGCACTGCCACTATAGGTGTGTCTTTGAGCAGTGCTTAGACAAGCTCTCTCTCTTTCCAGAATAAGTGGTTAAGCCGTAGCCCGATGCTGCAGAGGAGAGTGTATCACTCCATGGCCGCTGTCCAAAGGAAGCTGTACGTGTTAGGTGGGAACGACCTCGACTACAACAACGATCGGATCCTGGTCCGGCACATAGACTCCTACAGCATAGATGCCGACCAGTGGACTCGTTGCAGCTTCAACATGCTGACAGGTGAGCGTTGTACAAAACTCACTACTGCTGAACTGAAACATCTTTTCCCTTTAGATGCCTTTAGTATGTCGAACCCCTTGACTTTGCTACAAATGCTTCCAATCTATCACGGAAGCCAAGAAGACATTTTTCTTTTTTTTTTTTTTTACAGTTCTGGAATTCAGTGGTCTACAAAACCTTTGTTTTAGCAAATTGTACATTAAATTTTGAAGAATGTGCAGATAAATTTCATTTAATTAAGCAGTCAAAATAATTTGTCATAATATTACCAATACTGTTTTTTAATTCTCCAAAAGCTTGCCTGTGGTATTGGTTTAGCTCCCTGTGTTGAGTGTACAAGAGACTAATCTTTCTTTACCACGTAACATCATTTTGTAGTGGTTTCTGCTGGCATTATAGGGCAAAGCTTTCACTGAAATATGTTAACTCTTGCTTATTTCTAAACAGTATCTTCTTAATAAATTGTGCAAAAGGACATGTCCTTGTTGGAATTCCATCAAGTCATAAATGAATTGAGCACTTAGTTAACTACAGGACCTGTAAAGTTCTTCTTGACTTATTAGGAAGCACTGTTACAGCTGGAACTTGCAAAGCACTGCAGCTCACTGTCCCTGCCACCCAGTCCACCAAAGTTCACCTTCACCTGATACAATTCCCAGATGTAGTATCCCCTTGAATCCCAGGGAGAGACATAGAATCAGAGAATGATTTGGGTTGGAAGGCACCTTAAAGATCATCTAGTTCCAACCCCCTGCCACGGGCAGAGACACCTCCCACTAGACCCAGGTTGCCCAAAGCCCCATCTAAACTTGAGCACTTCCTGGGATTGGACATCCACAACTTCCCTGGGAAGCCTCACCACCCTCACAGCAAAGACTTTCTTCCTAATAACTAATCTAAACCTTCTCACTTCCAGCTTGAAGCCAATCCCTCTTGTACTGTCACTATATGCCCTTTTAAAAAGTCCCTCTTCAGCTTTCTATAGGCTCTGTGCTGCTAGTGGAAGGCTACAATTAGGTCACACTGAAACATTCTCTTCTTCAGGCTGAAAAGACCCCAATTCTCTCAGCCTTTCATCCTAGGAGAGGTGCTCCATCTTTGTAATCAACTTGGTGGCCTCCTCTGTACTTGCTCCAACAGGTCATTGTCCTTCCTGTAGTGAGGTCCCCGGAGCTGGACACAGCACTCCAGGTGGGGTCTTGCCAGAGTGGAGCAGAGGGGCAGAAATCACTTCCCTGAACCTGCTGGCCATGCTTCCAGACAGGCATGTGACACATTCTTAGTGTACAACAGTAGGCTTGCTTGGTTTCCAAGTCAGGCCATCAGAGTACTTGATGGACACTAGAGAGAGAGGCATAGATTGAAAAGGAATTACACATGGTCAAATAGAGCTAGGTTTTCATGTGTCTTTTGCTTACTACTTAATTACTTTATTATGTGGAGGAACCAACAGCCTTTGAGAAGGATGTCATCTGATTTGCTACTGCAAAACCCTGGGACTGCAGGCACCCTCCTCATTCTGGAGCTGACCCTGTGTCACTAAGTGCTGTGAGGCAGCCTTCCCTCCCCTGCATCCAGGTTCCTTCCAGAGCCAGTGCCTCAAGAAGCTGGCTAAGCCTTTCTTTCTGTCAGTACAACTGGCAGTAAATGTGCCTGGTGAATTGTGTAGTGCAGATTTTTTTAAGACCGTTTCTCCTTCAAAACTTCCAGACTTGTTGGGAGACAGTTGCTATGGGGATGAACTTGTGCAGCAGCTCCTGTGATTTTCACCATACTTGTACCTGGAGGAGGAGCGGGGCTGAACAGGTGTGGGCAGCACGTGAGGGGCACTCGGTGCTCTCAGCCTCTGTGACTGTTTGTTTGTTCATGTCTGATGGAGGCTGAGGGGCAGGTGGGGACCGTGCCTGTCACCTGTGACACACGTGAGGAGGGAGCAGATGGTCTCCTGTACAGCCACATTAATGCTCATCTGGGCAGCACCAGGCAGGGCTCCTGCAGAGAGCAAGGAACCGCTCCCATGCCTCACCTTCACTCCAACGTATTGGGAATTCTGAAACAGTCAAGTTACTGCCAGGAGTGTTTGCATCCCATTACAGAAATCCAGCACTTGGTGTTAAAAGGGTTAATTAAACACTGAAAGTGGTTTCTATTTCCTTCTTTGCTTTAGGTCAAAATGAGTCTGGAGTTGCTGTCCACAATGGTAGAATATATTTAGTTGGTGGCTATTCAATTTGGACAAATGAGCCTTTGGCATGTATCCAGGTGAGCGATTTAGGTTTCTTTTTAAAGTCTTTTCCAGTAATTTTGCAAGTATAAGTTTTGCATAGATTTTATTAAAAAAGGAAAGTACATGTGAAGTGGAGAGATTAAGGATATTTCTTATGCAGCCACTGAACCTGCATAAACAGAGAGGAAATACTGTAGATATTAAAAGTATTTCCAGATGAGCCAGTAGATGCAATTCCTCTAAGATATTCCAGTAAACCAGGCTTGAATTGTCTTTCCTTTGGCAAGGTTTGGATAAAATAATGTGTATATATTCACAGGTTACACAATCAAGTTCAGAATTAAAGGGTTGCAGAAATGGATGATGGGGCTAAGAATTTTCAGCCCATATTGGGATTTTTCTTTTCATTCCAAGTTGTGTTTCTGAAGGACAGCCAGAGTTAATGAGTTGTTCATTGACCAAGTGCAGCCAGCCTGCAACCTGCCCTACTGCTTACTACTTTAAAGCTTCAGTGGAAGTTTTTTGATCCCTGCTCTAGGCAGTAGGTTGTCCAGCAAACTCTTGTGCTCTCCCATCTTTTATAAAAGCAGCTCACCCACAAATCCATGACTTTCAGGTATTTTGGTACAGAAATTAGGAATTCTTATCTTTCTGCATGTCTCTGAGTGAAGTAGTTCTGCATCACTGCCTCTGCTTTGTGACTAGCTGGGCAGTTAAAGACAGAAACTCTTGTTTATACCTCAGTTTCTGCACTTCTGCTGATAAACATTTTTATTAGCTTCCAACTTTTTGGATTTTAGAATTTCACCTCCAAACTGTCCCATAAGACAAGAAGTTAGGCATAGCATAAGAAGGGAGCATATCAGGTTGCCAAGCTGCTGGTCTTATATTAAACACTTAGTAGCATGAATTTGTAAAGATTAAGATAATGCAAGATAAATAGTTAAAAACATGTTCTGGTCATTAGTATAATTGTGTTTTAGCAAGTTGTTGGATACCATACCAAAAATTTATTGGAGAAAGTTATTCAGGCTGGCTTGGATATAGCTGACATATAATGCTTAGATGGAGTAATAGCACAATATAGAGGTAGCAGCTGTGCTCCACTGGTGGGCTCATTTATAGTCAACAGGTACTTTGCACTATTGCACCTGGGTTTAAATACGGCTTAGTGACAAGCAGAAATAATCCTGGGATCTTGCTTTCTTAAATGGACATTTGTCCATATCCCCAGACTGGTCGTGAACTGGCAGCCTGCCTGACACAGTCCCCACATAAAAGGGAAAAGAAATATAATGAGTGATTTGGCAGAGCTGTGTGTGCTGTCCCTCCTCAGCTGTTGGCAGTGTGCCTGGCTTTAACCAGCAAAACTAGCCCTTTTATCTTCCAGTAGAGGAAAACGGGGTTGCTCTCTCCTTTGGAAGAAAAATTCCACTTTTTTCAAATACCTTTACTTACTTTAAATCAGTCATTTATTTGACAGTCCCATCTTCTGTAGAGCTTCTGTGCCTCCTAACCTTGGAGCTGACAAACGATTTGTGCTCTGTGCTAACAGGAGCCCTTCTGTGCAGAGTAACCCACTTGTACGGCTGCACATTCTCCTGCTGGGAAGCAGGATCCAGTGTCATTGTTTGCTCCTGAGTGCCTGAGCACTCAGGTTTTGGGCTGGATGATGAAAACAGCAAATGGATCAGCAGATCCATAAATAATCTAAAAATTACCTGAAACTACCTTTCTGCTGGGATTAATAGCAAATACATGAGGTGGGTGCCAGCAAATTTGTTTCAGCTTTCTTCTGTGATCCCAAAAATATTTTGTATGCTTTGCTATGCAGGTGCTGGATGTTAGCAAGGAGGGGAAGGAAGAGGTATTCTATGGGCCTACACTCCCCTTCGCTTCCAATGGAATAGCAGCCTGCTTTCTTCCAGCTCCTTATTTCACATGCCCCAACCTTCAGACTCTGCAAGTGCCTCACCACAGGATCGGCACAATGTGACGCATTCCTTGCGCTTCACAGAATCGAAAGTGGAGGGGGAAAACGTCAAACCCTGTGTACAGAAGGGTTTCTCTGGGTCAGTGAGAAGAATCAATCCACTTGGGCTGCTGCTTTACCATCACACATTTGTCTTAAAGTCGGATCACAGCAGGCAGGCAGGAAGTTACAAAGCCTGTGTGTGGTTTCTCTCCTCGGCCTCAGACGTGGAAGCAGATACGTGAGAGCGTTGTGCATTTCTGCTGGTGACTACTAGCTATGTGTCTTCTTCATTTCCTTATGCAACTTCGTCAGGCATTGTGGATGCTCTCAGTTCTTCCTGGGCTGCTGCTCTTTGGATTCTGCACAGTCAGTTGTTCACCAGTGGCGCTTTCAAAGACAATAAAAAAGCTCTGTTTATGTTGACAAAGATGATACAATACTGTGCTAATTATGCAACTTACTCAATACCTTTGGCAAAAAGAATAACAAATGTGTTGACTTCCAATTCTGAACTCCATCGTTTACAGTTTCTCATTTAATAATACTTCATTTGAAATTTAAATACTTCAAAACAGATTAAAACAAAAATAAGAAACAAACAAGCCCTATAGGATATGAGGAACAGATAAAAATTGTCTCAGCTGAAAGGCAAAGAAAATGAAGCCTCATGGTTAAATTCAAGTCTGAACTGAATGTGTTTGTCTGAGAATCTAAAGATTGTTTGGGATGTCATTTACCAAGGTCTACTACCAAATAAATGTTACCTTCTGTCATATGATCAATTCTTCCCGACAGCTGCAGTCTTTTAATGCTGGAGATCAGCCTCTTTACTGTATAATTAAAATGTGCCATTTACTTAATATTTTTAATATCCAGTTTGCAAGGGGTCATCACATTTACAATTATCAATGAGCAGTCTCATTTTGTCCAACATATGGTCCCACAAATCACTGGTCTCCAGAGGCTAAACAGGTGTAGAACAATGTCAATATTTATTTATTTATTCTTTCAGTTTATATAGTGTGTCTGCATTCCACTCTCCAGGCATATGCCAGCTCACAGCAAATACTCTAACCTGGTATATTTTGACTTTGCTTGGCTACTGCAGCCCCTATCTCTTATCTCTGTGTTTTATTTACATATTGAACAAAAACGTCAATGTTTGTAAATATTAACCAAGCATGTAATTAAATCTTTCTCTATTTCTGATTTGTGGATACTCTGCACTTCTCTGCCTTACCTACCGATCAGCTCCCTGCCACTGTGCTGCCTGAGCAGACCTATCAAATTCCTGCTGATGCTCCTGCTAATGCCATGTGTGGAATAAGCTACAGCAGTAGCCCGTGCCTGCTGGACAGGAACAGGTTTGACTTTGTCCAGTGAGCAGTGCTTTCTAATCAGAACTGTCTTTTAACTTTTAAGGGTGTGATTACAGGGAGGTAACTTTATTATCATTTCTGTCTCCTGCTGGGCAGTGTACTGGTGGAACATCACCTTTCCTTTTCCATACACACTCAGGTTAGAATGTTTTATGGTTGGGTTTTTGGTTGGTTTTTTTTTTTTTTACTTTTTTTTTCTGCTGAGTCTTCTCACTTTGGTTGTCTTGAGCAGAGCTGCAGCTGCCCAGTCTTTGCCTGGCACACCAATTCAAGTTGCTAACACCATCTCCCTGTGTGCTCCAAGCACACTTATATCTAGGCAGGACTTTTCTCTGTGCTGTGTGGGAGCTGGATAGGCTATACATCAAGACATATTTTAATTTCCTATTTGAATTTGTTTGATCTCCTGAAAATCTGCATGCAAGGGGCAGCTCTCTGAACAGTCCATTTACAGAAATTGTTTTCCTGTGTGGACCGCAGGGTCCAAGTCAAACAAGTATTCAAACTTTGACTTAGGTGTGGCTTTCAGGGAGACAAATAGAGTACATGTCTCATTTTCAAGAGGAGGGAAACTAAAATAATCAAAATGTGTGCAGGGTCTTTGAGTCTTATCCCAGAGCTACCACACCAGGTGAGTGATCCGCTTTTGTTTCAGGGGCAGAACTGACACTTCCTGTTTGTAAAGCCCAGGACACCTCTGGACAATTGTGCAAAGTGTGTTTTCTATGTCAGCTTAGTTTGGAGACTTTTATTCCTAGGTCTCACAGCTTACCACAGCTGTAGCTATGGAATAATTTCTAAACTGCTGCTTCTGGAGAGCAAGGGGAAGGATTAGGATGGATCAGGATGACTGCTGAGCAGTGGGCAGAAAGCAGCAGCAGTGGCCTGGGCTTGAGAAGCAGGGGGGGCAGCTTCCTTAAAGCAGTATGTGCCTCTTGGTTTGAGGTCTGAAAGGCAAGAATGTTATTTATCATGTTTGTTCTGCCCTTTAGACACTTCTACTGCTCTGGCTGTTGTCACCAATTGTCTGCACTGTGAATGGCAGTTTTAAACAGCTGTGCAATTGCATTATATTAGTTAGGGGTACCTCTGCCACAGAGCCTCAGGACAACACATATGGTCCTGTTAGTGTCAGGATCCCACTCTAGCTTTTAATCATCAGGCTCCACTGATTACAGAGGTCTTTCACAGCAACCTCTTAGTCATTTAAGTTTTTGTGTCACATTTTCCTATCTGGGTCTTTCTGCTTTTGTTGCAGGACAGATGGAGGGTGCTTTGTTGCACCTGAAGTCAGAAAATGCTTCATAGCCCTTGCCAGATGAGCAAAACCCAGTTAATTATTGCCAGGTAAGAAAAGGAAACAGTGTGGATGCAAGAGCAGACAGAGAGCACCCTGCTGTGGCTGAGGGGTCTCAGCTGGAAGGAGTGAGGTTGGGAGACCAAGGCTGGCTTCATCTGCCACCTGCAGCTGTGCAGGGCTCCTGCAAAGGCTTCCTGGTGAGATGAAGTTTCTGAATCACTCACTCTGCCATCCTTCCATTGAATGTCTCTGGCTTCTAAAGCTACTATAGTTGCAAAATCCTGTGTGCGACCTCCTGATCCACCTGTGATGTTCTAAATTTTGTACCATTTTGGGCAGACATGCAACTCTGAACCCAGCCTTCATCCCTACCCAGCCTACTGGCTTTGGTACATACCTCTGACACACAGATTAGCTCAGTTTTTCCACACAGCCTTTAAGCTGTCCAGAACAAGAATATTATTTCCATGCTTGCTGGTTCTGTTGCCAGTCTGATCACCACAGTGTGAGAGCAGATGCCAACACAAGTCATTTATCCAGCTGGGAGTGCACAAGGTAAGGGGACAAACTGCAACCAGTGAGAACTCACTACTGCTTCAGGAAACAGGTTTTCCTGCCAGTGAATAATGCAGCAGTCACTGACTGTCCCATCTGGAGGAGAGTGCAGTTCTGTGCCCTGAACTCTTTAAGATTCACACATTAAGGCTATTTATATCTGCAGCTAAGACTTTTGGGCCACAAGGTCTTGAAGAGTTGTACTGAAGAGTTGTTCTCTGATCTTTTTCAGGTCACTCCCATAAAGAATATTCTATCCTTTATATTGCTTTAATTAAATACATAAACTTATAAACTTTACCTTTGAGTCCTAAAATGTGTTACCAACTTTTAGCTATAAATAACCATGAGTGAATAAGCTGCTTTCTGCTTTTAATCTGTAAAATGCCCAATTTTCACAAGCAGAAGCAGTACCAACAGCCTCTTCTGCCACTTTAGTGTCTCTTGAGCATTTCACACCCAAGTGCTGATTAAAGAAACACGTTATGAGCCAGTGTGCAGCAGTTCTGCTTCTGTACAGCAATGTTTTTGTAATCCTTCGACTTCTAGTTGTGGCTTATGATTTTCTTCTTAGTTTAGCAGCTTTTGAGCCAAGTTCCTGGCTCACAGAAGAGCTGAAACTTCTGTAACTCTTTTTCATCTAAATTTTGCCTTCCCCAGTTACCCTCCCCCAAACCTGTACAGACATTTAGTACATCAGTTGCAGAATCGTGGAGAAACAGATAATTGAATATTCACACATGCAGAAACAACCCAGGCAGAATGTGGAACAATGTGGAAACAAGCGCGAAAAGAGGCGGCATCTGTTTATTGAAAATTAAAATGTAGAATAAATTAAGAGGGCAAGGTTAAGACACTTCATCTGCAGGCAGAGTTTGTAGGGGAGGAAGACTGCGGAAGTTTAGCACAGACTGTGTATAAAGGACTTACGCAGTTCAATTTTTTGCAAAATGATGGCGTTTTTTCCCCCCAAGGACATGTTATAAAGGGATAAAGTGTCCACATAAAGAATGGTTTTCCAATAGAGATGATTATATATAGCAGTTTCACAGTAATGCCACAATTAAAATGCTTAAAATGTTAATGTTGCAGTGCTTCAAGTATTGAAGAACAGAGTAGGTATTTTTAGCAATATCCTCAATTCATGTAAGCAAATGCTGTGCTAATTTTTCCACCAGTGCCTATGCAGGTCATGCTGGGCCTTTCTAAAAGAAATAATGAATTTAGCAAACCTGCATTTTTAATGCCTGTTTTGGTGTCATTCTGCAAGAAGGGTAGAGCCAAGACAGTGTTTGATGGACTGACAAACACAGTGAATTTGGTTGTAATGTGGAATTACTTTGCTGAAATTTCCAAAGGGCTGTAAAGATACCACATCTACAAAGAGAGGATCTGAGCTTTTACATTTTTTTTTGTTGTTGTGCACATACATTTACACTTTGTACATTAAGCTTGCAAAAGGTTTACCACTTCAAAGTTGCTCAAGTAGACAAAAGCCATATCCTAGTCATTCATCATAAAACAAGCTTAATTATGCTAGGACATATTGACACTGCATCAGATTTTTCATCTTCAACATAATTTTATAACCATTGCTAACAGATGGGCTGATTACACTGAATTTGAGCTTTAAGTAATAGTTAAAAATTCTAAAATATGATTAAACTGGAAATACCCATTGCATACATATTTTTCAAAAAGCTTCTGAAAGAAGGAAAACCAGAGTGCAGTAAAAGCTTTTTTTTTTTCCTGAGGGAACTATATTGCGTTTAGAGTTATCGAAATTCCTTAGATGACCAAGCAGTTTATGCTGTTGGCTTCTGTTCAGTTACAACAGATAAGCCAGAACCTTTTCCTTTCCATAGGTCTGCTGCTCTAATCCAGCGTAAAAGGTATTAATTGCTCTATTTCAGAACCTCTTTTTTATCAAAACATATACCCCCCCGCCCCCTTTTTTTTCATTGAAAATGAAAGCAAATAGTAATTTAAATTAATTTGTTTCTGCTCTTTAATAACAATAACAAATTAAAATTCTTATGAAACAGAAGGACAGCTTTGTGGGACTAATGGAAGTCACATATGAATTCTGAACAGAAGGTATTTTTTTCATGTTATCTTGTTTAGGTTACTAAAGGAAAGATAAAGCCAGACTTCCCTCTGCCTGCCATTGTTCATCATGTGCTGGACATGTGTTTCATATCACAAGGATGATAATGGGTCAGAGGTGACTGGTATCCTGAATTCTGGAATAGGGGAAATATAAAGATTAAATACTGTCTATTTAGATTTCAATTCTATATATTGCAGAAAAGAAAGGGTGCTTAGTAAATATACACACATAGCCCTCTTATATCCTGGAACAGTCCTCTGGCCAAGGAGATCAGTGTGGAAAATTCTGTCAAGGCTTATGATGGCTCTATTTCAGACAGATCTCCCATTACCAGTATTAGCATTTCCAAACAAAAGGACACTCTGGTCACAAACTGGGCACCTGCCTTAAGGCAAGAAAGCATACTGAAATTAAAAGTTTTAACAAAACTCCACTGATAAACAGTGATTCTATACTTATGAGTAATTAATTGTCTTCTAGTTTTAGCTGAGGTGGAGTTAATGTTCTTCACAGTGGCCAAAAGGGGGCTGTGTTTTG